ATTTTAGGCACACATGCACACATGCCTGGCATGATTTTCAAGCCACCAAGTCCAGGACTGGAACCACTGTCAGCAATGTAGGAGTCCAGCACCTTAAGCACCATGCTACCTGCTGGCTCCACCTCAAATATTTTGTTTCTAATGTAAACCCATTAAATTTCAAGTCATAGCAGAATTTTGATCCATGGTAAACATCCTCCAGGTAATCATAAGATTTCTTATGTTTTAAATTTTATTAACTCATCACCAATATTTTGGAGATATTATATCCAGTATATATTTCATTTTGTGCTAAGCAGTATGCCATTTAGACCTTATTGACAAGGTAAAGCTGTCTGATAAGAAGTGGGGACATAAGAACAGGACATGTGAGGATCAAGTCAGCAACACGTGTGGTCAGCCATAGTTCCCATGGGGTAAACACAGCTCATGAGATTCGCAAAGCATAACTAAGGTTATTTCGGAGTTTTTCTTTATTTACAATAGGGCATGGGTGTGTGCATACGTCAGAGTCTGGTCACACACACTCTCTTCCCCTTTCTTTAGTCTTCCAGCAGTTGGATCCTGGGCACTTGCTCGCATACCCAGTGTGTTTCAGGCTGGGCGGGCCAGGGATTTGAACTGTTGTTGCTATCTGGGATCCAGCTTCTCCTGAGCAGTACTTTACCACTGTATTACAGAGCCAGCCCAAGACTATATCGATTTTGATGAGTTCACTCAGGCCAGATTTACACTAGAATGATTTCATTATTTTCTGTTATAGTTGTTCCATTTTATTTATATCTTAATTAAAAGCAAAAAAGATAAGAATAACTGATTCCAAGTAAAAAATTAAAAATCAATATTTTAATATTTTTGAAAAAATGGTCTTTAAAAAGCAATATAGGAACTAATTACATCCCATAGCATCCTGGAAACTCTTCTCATTTAATTACTGTGATGATTAATTTTATGTGTCAACTCACCTAGGCTGATATATACCCAGATATCTGGTCAAGTCGAGCTAGGAAATTCATCTGCTTTTGGACCTTGATGTTCCTGGCTCTGGAACCTTTAGACTCAGACTGGGACTTAATACCATCGGCTCCACTGGTTCTCATACCTTCTGGTTTGAACAGGAACCAGCTTGCCTGGCCCTCCAGCTTGCGGAAAGCAGATGGTGGGACATCTCAGTCTCCTCAATCACATGAGTCCATCTTTCCTAATAAATCTTTCTGCATCGCTGTACATCCCATTGGTTCTTTTTCTCTGGAAAATCCCAATAAAATTACAAATTCTGCATTTGTGATTTCTGGGCTACAGGCAAATTGTCAGTTCATTTCTCCTAATTACCCACATACAAAATTCAAAACAGTACCAAAAAATAGGCTGTCTGTAAAAGAATATCTGAACCCTAACATACGCATCAAATGCAATATTTTAAAATAAGACACACTATGAAGGCCTCCAAAATGAGAGGTTAGTGCCAAGTTCGTAAGTTTATAAGAAGTGCAAATAAATTGAATGATTCTAAACAAATGTTTGGGAGGGGATATTTCGTGTGTCCTATTCATTTTGTCAAATGAAGAATTGTCTGTGTATTGTTTATTTTTCACACTAAAAAATAACAAATTGAACTCAATAAATATTTTTTCTGAAGTTTATAAAGCTTCATTATTCCATTTTCATGAAGTTTTTTTTTTTCCTTTCTTTCTTGTTTTTATTTTTTTAAAAAAATACTATCAGCTCTGGGACCAGCAGGTGACGTAATGGTTACATTGCTGGACTCCCATGTAGTTGATCATAGTTCAAGTTCCAGACTCAGTGGCTTAAAACTCACGCCAGGTGTATGTGCATGTGTGTCCAAAATCCTTAGAGAAGAATGGAGGAGAAGGGATTGTGATGAGGCCATTTCTACCTGTCTCTCTGGCAAGTGCACATACCCTATAACAAAAATCTCTAAAAAAATACTATCAGTCTTGAGGTCCTCTTAGGATTCTTAAGATTTTGGGCATAAGCATGCTAAATTTCTTTATTTGCATTTTTACTGAAATTGGATTACTGGCTTGGGATGGAGGAGCTAATCTTCTTTATCTTTTTTTTTTTTATTGACACGTAGTAATTGTATACATTTGTGGGTACAGTGTGATTTTTTTAGCATAGGAATGGAAAGCGTAATGATCAAATCAAGATAATCAGTATTGACATTTGTTTTAAAAGAAGACCTTGTAAAGATACTTGCTTTCCATTCTATGCCTTGTAATTTGCTTTGACCAACAGAATGCAGTTGAAGTGTTAATGTGCCAGTTCTCAGAAAAGGCCTTCATTTGTGTGCCCACACTTCTGCTGCTGTGTGATAATGTACCCAGGCTAAATTGTTAGTGGAGCCAAGTTCCCCCAGTCATTCTAGACAAGCCATCCCTCATAGAGAACAGCCAACCAACCCCCAGACACTTGAGCAAGCCAGCCAAGGTTGGCCAAGCCCTCAGGTGATCCAAGGCTGATCAATGTGTGAACGATTCCAGCTGAGAGGAGTCCCACCCGAATTAGCCGAATCCCACATTCCAGGAGCAAAATAAGTGCTTATCACTAAAGAGATTTCATGGCTGCCATGTAGCATTATAGCAATAGATAAGTGATACCCCCGGTATTGGATATAATGTCATTGTGATAAGTCTCCTGGCCTCCATAGACAGCCCGTTTTGGTCTTTAATCCACACAAAAACACATGCTGCCATTATATATCAATGAAGTTTTTAAGCACACTATTAGAGTTAAGTATTGGTGTTAGTGTTGTATTACTGTATTTTCATTAAATTTCCAGATAATGAATTTAGAAACAAATCTGAAAATGTTAGTTTACTAAAACAGTGAGTGAAGGCATCGGAGTGTGAAATAACCAAGAGCAAACTACATTTTAGAACACATAAAATCTCTGGGGCTAACAGGTGGCATGGTGATTAAGGCATTGGATTCCACATGGCTGACAGTGTGGTTTGAATCCTTTATCCAACAGCTTGAAAAACATGCATGGCACATGTATGTGCATGCCCAAAATCCAGAGAAGAGAATGGATGACTGGAAAAGGGATTGGAGCATGGCCATATCCATCTCCTGAAAGGTGATTTCTCACTGTTGCTCTCTCTCTCTTTCTCTGTCTTTACAGTCAGTACATGTACCCTATAGCAAAAACAAAACAAAAAGCAGAGTACATAAAATGTCAATGATATATAACAAACTGAAGGTTCAGTATAAAAACAAATCATTTTCATTTATTCTCACTACCATTTTCAACTACCTACTCATTAAGTTGCTGGAAACCACTTCCACTGTATTCACAATGTGTAATGTAAATACTACTTTATGGTAGATGGGTTATTTTAAATGTCTGCTAATCAGAGTATATGAGTTTATTTTATTTTAACAAATTACATTTTATGGTGTTTTTCTATTTTACAGACAGTTTTTTATTTTAATATCAAGTAACATGACTTCGTTTTTTTTTTCAGAAATTGATAAAACTCACTACCAGAGTTGTTAAAATCCAGTGCACAGATAAAAGGCACCTGTTGGAAAAGCATGAAGCTAAAAATGTATTTGGAAGGGTAACCAAACAGATACCAATAACATCTAGTTATTAAAACATAGGTTCAATAAGCTTAAGGCACATTTTTCCTATAAAGGCTATAAATAAGCCTTTTATCTGTAAAAGAAATAGGAAGGTATACAACTGTACAAGGGATATTCAAAAAAGTTTGTGAAAAAATATATATTATAAAAAAGGTTTTAAAAAGCCCCATGAGACCAACATGAATTCTGTTAAAAATGAAGCAAGAAGAAACATTCAATTTAAAGAAAATTTGGGTGACAGCAATGATAATATCACTGATGCATTTACGAGAAGTTTATAGGAACAATGTCCTAAAGAAATCAGTAGTTTGCAAAAAGGTTAACTTCTTTTGAAAGGAATGAGAATGTTAAAGATGATGCCTGCAATGACAGATCATCCACATGAACTTGCAAGTAAATAATTAATCTTGTTTATCCCCTAATTGACAGGGACCAATGATTAACAGCAGAAATAGCCAACAACAAACACATCTTAATTTGTCCAACTTACATAATCTTGACTAAAAATATTAAAGCGGAGCAAACTTTCTGTCTGCGGGTGCCAAAACTGTTAGACCCAATGCACTGCAGGTAAGAGTAGATATTTTCTAATGAAGATTTTAAACAAACAGCTTCAAGATCCTGAAGCAATTCTCTGAAGAATTTTAACAGAAGATACTACATGGTTTTTCCAATATAATCCCGATGACCAACTACAATCAAAATAATGGCTTCCGAGAGGTGGAAGTGGTCCAGTCAAAGCAAAAGTAGACTGTTCAAAGCGAAGGTCATGGCAACAGTTTTTAGAGATCCTCAGGGCATTTTGTTGGTTGACTCTCTGGGGAGCCAAAGAACAACATCTGTTTATTATGAGAGCGTTTTGGAAAAGTTGGCCAAATCTGAACTGAAAAAATCCCTGGGAAGGCTTTACCAGAAGGTTCTTCTCCACCACGACAATGCTTCCGCTCAGTCTTCTCACGACATGGTGACCATTTTTCAAGAGCGGTAATAGAGAATCACTAGGTATCCTCCTTACAGGTCTGATTTGGCCCCTTCTGACTTCTTTGTCTCCTATGTGGTTACATTCCCTAAGTGCTCAGTTCTTTAGGAATGGATTAAATGGCTGGAATCAAAAGGACTTGCAGTTTATGTTGAACTACAATGTTCACTTGTTTTCTTTTTTCTTGTCATTTCGTATTTCCGTGAACTTTCTGAAGCCCCTTCATATCTTTATGTAAGAGAGGAGACAGAGAGAATGAGAGCAAGAGGAGACTGTATTCATGTATATGTGAGAAACTTCAGGGAAATATGTAGATTTATCAGGATACAGGTTCTCTATTTTTATTTTCATAAATATACATTTAAAGCTCAGATTCTATCAGTAAACACAGAGGAAGAATATCAAAATCATGTTGTGTTAAAATTACTTTTATTCAGGATGAAAAATACAACATGTAACCAGATTAGATGATGGTCTATGATTAGTTCTTTACCACATATTTCAAAAGAACTACATACATATTCCCCATTGTTGTTACTGCGGTATATTTATTTATTATTACTTAGAAGGTTACAATGTAGTGTATTATGTAGCTTTTCCTTAATAGCAGATAAAGATCATTTTGCATACAAATACAGGCAGAAAAAAAATTAATACATGACTTTCAAAGTAAGAACAAGGAAGACACCAAATCTACAACATGAAGTTCAAAGTTCAGGGAATTACTTTTTCCTTAAATAGGTACTTTCTCGGGTATGATATGGCCTGATAAAAGCTCTAGACTTTGCAGACTGTAGTGGCATAAAGCTAGTCCCAACGCGATGAATGAAGATGGATCTGAGGTAGAAAGGTGGTCATGGCTTTCCTCTTATATAAAACAATTCTCTTCTCAAAATATCTATGCTGCAAATAGACACCCTTGCCCCCCAACCCACCCAGTCTATTCTAAAAGAATAGCAATTTCTACTTTAAGCCTCCTCCTGGCCAGATCCCAGTTAAAGAGAACCCAAAGTTAAAATGTCCTGATGTTTTAAAAGCACATATGCTTGAATCAAAACAAAGTATTTTCACTTTTTTTTTTTTGGTTTCTCTACATTTGGTAATTAAGTAACATGTTTAAGCTGAATCAATTAAATGTTAACTCGGAAGCTAAACCAAATATCTAACTGAATGCACTCAAAGGCAGGACTACCACCACGTATGCATTAATTTCATTCTTCTGTTGGAGCAGAAGCATTGTCTTTGATGAACAGCCTTCCCAAATCTACTCACTGAGGGAAGGGTAATAAAACATCTGTTTATTCACCCAAAAGGTAAAATGAGACATGCACTAAATTTGTGTCTGCTTTCAGAAAGAAAACAACTAGGAATTCCAAGAATTATGAAGGACTTGAAAATATAAGAACAATAAATGTCTCTTCAAAGAACTAAAGACAATGATGCTTCTGCTATCACAGTAGGTAAAGATTTACCATACACTGGATGATGAAAATCAAGACCTGGGAACTAGGGAAGGTTGTACCAAGTTTTGTTTCTGTGTCCAAAAGAAAATTTGGTTAAATGGACAACCTTTGGTAGAAAGATCGTTGAGATATTTATACTGCTGTCTTCTCTATTAGTTAGATTGGGATACAAAATAAATAAAGAAACCAAGACCTATTCATAAAAAGAAAGTAAACATAGAGGGGAAAATTCCTAACAGAAATGCTATTTAGGACCATGGGATTTTTGTTGTGGTTACCCAAGTGGTCACTGAAGAAGAGTATGATGTCAAATACAGTTCAACAGTATACACAGAGTTGTCATCTGATCCATATATATATATCCATTGAAATATGTGAACTCATTAATTTGGCCAAATCATGGAAACACACACATGGAATCTATGTGGTCATGTGGCTGATAAATTATAAATAACCAAAACATAATGCCAAAAGAGTCAAAGAGATAAATGAAGTCATTGTACAAGGTTAATATGAACAGCCGGAGGAATGTAAAAATGTAAAGTGGTCTTCTCTTTTGCAATTTTCATCAGGGTTATTAAAAAGACAGTATTAGAAAGCCCCCACCCACCTTCCCAGTGCTGTATACATAATACAAATCAGTGACAAATGTATTACCATTTCCAAATACCTCTCTGTTCATTAATTTACAGTTGCATAGAAAGGGAAGAAGAAAACAATAATATATGGTTATTATAAAAACAAAATATCCTTTTCTCTTTGGATAGTCAGTGTTTTACTCCTTCAGTAGAACACACAGTCAGCGCTCAACTGCACGTGTCACGCAGCCAAGGAGCCTTGGATTAAATGGAACTTGGAATTGACATTTGCTGAAAAGGGCACTACTGTAAGTCAGGAGATGTTGGTTGGCTAGATGAATACTTCACATGGCCTGTGGAAACGGAAAACAGCACTGTCAGAACAGCATTTGCATAAAACATTTTGGGTCACAGAGACCCGTCAACTCTTTAAGGAAACAAAAGTGCACATTCCAGAGCTAGTCCAGCCTACTTTTCTGGGTCCAAAGGGGACCCCGACCTTTCATGTGACTTTTGTTTCCTGGAATGAGGTTCTTCCTTCTTATCTAGAAGTCACCTAGTCTGCTTTCTATCATTGCAGCCAATACATTGAGAAGTTTGGGTGTCCTTTTCTCTTGCCCAGATTAAAAACCCAATTAAATTGGAGAGAGCTTGGCTTCTTCCTGCTAGGACTATAAACAGGGAGTGCATTAGGCTGGTGCAGACACCCGATCTCCCCCAGGGCCGTGTGGGAGTTCTGCTTCAGAGGAGGCTCCCTGACAATACCAACTCATCTCAGTCTCAAATTAGGGTCTAGAGAAGAGGAAGAGAAGACAGGAATCATAATTGACGGGAGTGCAGTGGTGTCTGTTAGAATAAAATGTCCCAGAGGCCACCCAGTGGCAGAATGGTTAAGGTAGCTGGATCTCACATGGTCACTGCATGGTTTGAGTCCCAGATCCAGAAGCTTAAAAAACACCAAGCACATGTGTGTGCATTCCCCAAATCCCCAGAGGAGAATGGAAGAGAAGAAACTGCAGTGTGGCCATCCCCCTGGGGGATGATTTCTCACTTCTTCCCTCTTTCTCTCTTTTTCTCTCTCTGTTTCACTATGTGGCAAAAAAATAAAGGGGGGAGGGAGATTAAATGTCCCAAGCTTTCAAGGTGTGGCATCAGCCTTTGAAAGGCAAGAGTTTGGGAATATGTGTTTTACTGATGACCTACAGGGCACAGAGAAAGGGTTTCAAAAGCTAGAGCAGGTGGGACAAGGGACACTGAGTGGTGTGCAGATGTTTCTACATAGATCAGGGTAATCCTATTTTATTCTACAAATAGGAGGGGAAGGTGACTAAGGTCACTTTTGTTTCAGTCTGAGCACTTGTAAAGTATTTGAGAATTTAAAGGACGCTTCTCTCTCCCCTTTCTGACCCCCATTATTCACAGCCTCATCACCACCTCAGGGACCATCAAAACTAATCTCATCAATCCCTTTGTCCTTGCTTTTGAATTGTCCATCATCAGCTGCTCCAGATACCTGTTTACCCTTTCAACCCTAGTTCTTTGTTTTATGTAGAGACATCTGCACACCCCTTTTTTATCACATGCCCCATACTCTCTAGTTCTTGAAACCCTTTTCTGTCCCCTCTGGGTCACATGGCCCAGCATCTGTCAAGCCCACATTCTCAAACTCTTCTCTTACTGCTTCCTTCACTGGCTTGCATAATCAATAACTGGTTATCCCTGAAGACAGTTTCTCCATAACCCTTCCACATATGACTTCTCTCCCACACTCCTCATACACTGGATCCAGCTCTTCCTAGGCCCTCACTGAGATTATCAGAACATCTTCTTTTCCTCCCCCAGAAAACACCAAGCTGAGAATCTCTTGCCTCACAACCTGCTGAAGTTCCAGCTTCTAATGACTAAGACAAAAGAAGCATCTATGAGAGGTAAACTGTAGCTCTTACTATCATAGTACTAGTCCACTTCACATGCCCCTGTCCTCTAGTTAAGGCCCCAGCCCCTCTTGCCAGTAAGACCATTGAACAATCAAAAGCCTCACTGTTTAAAACGATTAATTAACTAGTTAATCAAAGAAATGTTCTTCAAAGACCCATTGTGGCCCTGTGGCACATTATTACTGAGTACCTGATAAGGCACATACTGAAAAACATGGGCTATAGTTACCAACAGTTTCTGCAAATGTTTAAATGAAAAATACTCTTTGCCCCTCAAAGTAACAAAGCCATGTTTGTGGTATCTGTCCCTTTTAAAAAGTCTGGAATAGCTGTGACAGGTACCTTTGCAGGCGTGTGGGAGAACAGTGGCTGGCTAAATCTATCCAGAGTGACTTTATATAGTAGATGGAATGCCCTTTAAAAAGTCGTTAAAACACAGACGATCAAATTATTATGTTTTTTTTTGCGGGGGGGGGTATTTTTTGGTATCTAGAAAAGCCTAGTTTAGTAACCCCTGTTGTCCCTCTCCTCCCTAGATTAAGAAACTACTGCACAAAATCAACTAGCTTTTAAATGACAAACAAGTTTACTCATTTATGTGAAGAAGGAAGTAGGACTGAGCTCAGTGGTAGCCAACCTGCTCCCTCCAGGTTGGGATCAGCAACAGTTGAGTCAATCAACCCAGTTAACTTACCTGTGGCCTGCTGGGGACATTTGCTGAAAGAGAAAACAAAGAAATCAGTTGAGGCTGTATCCTTGCTTTGTTGTTCTCCTCTCTCAGGCATGCGCACATGCAGAACATGCCAGTCTGAGGAGGATAAAGACCTAGCTGTTACAGGGATGCAGTGGGAAAATAACAAACAGGTATATGACCACTTTTTTTTTTTTAAGACAAATCCTTAAACAAAGGCTAGTTTTCCAATTTTGTTATATCCCATGTGCTTTAAGATAAAAATTCCACTGAAATTATGCAAAATACATGCTGGCTTGCTCAGATAAGTATACATGAAGATATTTAGTGAGCATTTAATTTTCCAAAAGTTACCAAAATTTCCTATTTGAGTTAGGTTATGCATTTATTTTATGTATCAGAACATAGCGAGTTTTGGGACCAGCAGTTAGCATAATAGCTATGTCACTGGACTCCCATGTAGTCAACAGTTGTTTGAGTCCTGAACCCAGTGGCTTAAACTCATGCCAGGCACGTGTGCATGCATGCTCAAGATCTCGAAAGGAGAATGGAGGAGAAGGGATTGCAGTGTGGACATCTCCCCTTCCCCCTCAGGGGGGTGATTTCTCGCTTTCTGTCTCTATGTCTCTCTCTGTCTTTTGGGCGTGTGCACGCACCCTATAGCAAAAACCTCTTCAAAATAAATAAAGAATACAGCAAGTTTTGTTTATTTTGCTGGATAGTGAGAATTCAGACCAAAAGGCTGTTAGGGACATGAGTCTCAGATTACTGCTACCTGCTATGATTTGAATCTGTCCCCTCAAAAACTACTTGATGAAAGCTGGTTGTGGAGGGATTGAGAGGATGACTACTGAGCCTGACTCTGAGATTAAGAGGTGGGGCCTTTGGGAAGTGAGTAGGATTAGGTCATGTGGGTGAGGCCACCCCCATAAGAGAATCATGGTGGGTTTATTTTTTTTTAAGAATTATTTATTTAATTTTATTTATTATTATTATTCTTTGTTTAATTTGCTCTAAGGCACATGTGTTCACCAGAGAGAGACAAAGAGGAAGGGGTGGGGGGGACAAAGTGAGAAAGCAAGCCGCCAGGTCCAGGACTCAAACCACAGTGGAGGCTAGTATTGTTGGGAGTCCAGTGCCTCAACCACCATGCCACCTGCTAGCCATCTCGTGGTGGGTTTATAAGTAGAGAAGATGACATAGACACAGACACATGTTCTGCTCCTGCTCCGTCTGGTCACGTGATGCCTTGCACACAATAGCCTCTACCATCTCCAAAACCATGAGTTAAATAATTCTCCTTTTTGGGGGAGAGATTTTTGCTATTTGTGTTTACCAGAAAGACAGAGAGAGATGGAGAGACAGAAAGTGAGAAGTTCCCCCCGCCCCAAATAAGGGGATGGCTACACCGTAATCCATTCTCTTCTTGGGATTTTGGGCTCAAATTCACAAATTTTTGTGAATTTCAAGTTGCTGGATCCAGGACTTGAACTGTGGTGGGCTATATGGAAATCCAGCACCTTAACTACTATGCAATTGTGGTCCCAATAAATCTCTATTCTGAAAAATCAGAGTCCCAGGAATTTCAGTAATTATTGACATAAAACCCAAAATTCTGATTTCCTTGATGCAGGCCTAGGGCCACTATCTTCAAAGGAAGATTCCTGCATCAAGAAAAGGGCTGCCTAATTCTCAGCACCTTCTGGACACCTGGGTTCATAATCATGCCTAAGATGGGTCTAGTTAAGGGCATTGAAGGTGTTCAAATATGGTGTCTAATTTGCCTGGCATCTGAGTAGATCAATTCCTTTCTTGTTCCAGAATCCACAATAGTGAAGAGGATCTGGCTGGCTTTACAAGAGCAGCCACTACCAAATTTCTTTTCTCCCTTTCATTTCTCCCTTACACTGTGTAATCATTTTGTACTCGAGTACAGAATATAAAATGAGATCTGACCCTAGTAATGGCAACATCTGTACATCTGTTCTTTTTTGTTTGTTCGTTTCTTTTTTTTAAGTTTGTTTTGTTTTTGTTTTGGTTTTTGTTTGTTTGTTTGTTTTTTGCTATAGGGTGCATGCGTTCCTTATAGAGAGACAGAAAGAGATAGTAAGAGGAAAGTGAGAAATCACCTTTAAGGGGGATGGCCATGTGGCAATCCCTTCTCCATTCTCTTACTGGGATCATGGGCATGCACACTTAGGTACCCAGCATGATTTTAAAGCCATGGGACTTACACCATGATCAGCCAGGAGAGTCTAGGAACTTAACCACTGTGTCACCTGCTGGCCCACAACATCCATTTTTGATCAAATTATAATTGTCCCTAATCATCAAACATGTTCAAGCCTTCCTTCTCTCATTTTTCTATGTTGAGGGAGGTAGAAAAAAGAGATCAGGGGCACTTATTGACTGAGTACTAGTAATTTGGAGATTATAAATGAGGTGGCTGAAAGGGCAACCTACTTATGACACCTGGAAGGAAAGTATGAGCCCCGTTATTTCGGGGAAGATGTAGGCCAAAACAGGCCTAGTCCTACTAGACACATATGTGACATGAGGAAGAAAAGAGTGGACAGTGGCAGAGAGGGAAAACACCTGCTCTGTGAGGTAGGCCTACATGGGAAGGTTCCCTGTTTGCATGGAGGGACCCCCTTAAACACATGGTGCACAAATCTGCCCAAGATCCAAGACTGTTGAAGCTGTGAAGACCCTGTTGGGGGTTTCTGTCTATCTCTGTCTTTCTCTCTCTCTCTCACACACACACATATGGAAAAAATGAATAAATAAATTTAAAAAAATAAGAGTGGACCTTACACATCCCTGAGCTACACCCAAGGGTTAGTTGAGTTGAATAATAACTAAACACCCCCTATGTTTACATGGGCTTTCTAAAACGGAGTTGTGCCTCCTTCGTAAGTAACAAATATAACAAATAGTCAAACCCCAGACAGTCTAATCCATTTTACTCCAAACCAATACTTTTAACTTTACAGCTTTTTATCAAATAAAAGGTTATGAGTATTCTCCTGAACAAATCATACGAATATATTTTAAAAGGAAATCAGGAAATTCTTGCATTTTAGCATATTATGAGTTTTGGATAAATGTCATTTGAGCTTAATAAACACAGACAATTCATATTGAAAAGATGTTGTGGGGTCAAAACTAATTTTTAAAGCATTGGTTGTTCTATCAGCAAAAATTTGGCTGACTATGAGTATCCTGAATATTTAAAGGACATAAATTTAAAAACTGACAAAAATTTTTATAGTAAAAAAGAAATGGTTACAGCAGTCAGTGGCAATTTTAACGTGTACAGTGGTTAATAGACAGCATAATTAAATTCCCTTCATTAACTTTTTGCCAGGAAGAGATGGGAATTCCTAGCTTTCTACTCTAAACACAATGTAAATAATTTTGAAAAAGATTTTAAAAAGCTGTTTCAAAGGTGCTTTCAGGACCAACTGGGATATTAATCCAGATGGAAGAATTCTAAAGTGTTATATGCATCAACACCTAGACATGGTTTAAAAAAAGCATCATGCCAAAGAAGGCAATTTGTGCTATTAGGGTTTATGAATACGGAGTTTCATTTTAATTCCAAGATTGCCAGCAGTGGAAATTCATTTGTGGCCATGCTAATATTTTAATCCACAAAGGATCAAAAGTCAAGATTAACATGCAGATCAATTCATTGTATGCCAGTGACAAGCACTTTAGAAGTTCTCATTAGTTAGAGGCTCAAGGGATGGGCTTGGCATTGGGAGGGTGCCAATCTGATTTGTTTAGATAAATCCTCCAAGGGTGGTCAGTAAGTGTGTGGAGTTGCAAAGGCTTATTAAAATATTTGCGTGCTGAACAACTTAAAAGGGGCAACAAAACAAATGAACCCTACAGAACAACCAAACCGTCCCTGTTCAAAAATGTTTTGGAATCATTCTTTTACTCATTCAATCCAATAAGAGGTCTTGGAACACTAAAACATATATATCTCTTCATAGATTTAGGAGATTATTTAAAATATAGTTGTAGTTGTAAGCAGTATAAGCAGTACACACACACGTGAATTGTATCTGTTTGAAACAGCAGACATGTTTTAGGTAAGAGCTCAGGAGAAAATGCAAGGTGAGGGGCAGCTATAAAATGCAGCACTAAAACATGACACCTGGCAAAGCTGACCCATGTGGGAAGGTTCCACATTTATGTCTGGAGACTTCCCTGAGTACACTGGTAACATGTGTTCAGATCTGCACTGGGCTGAAGCTGAGGTTGTGGGTAGATTGTGGTATTAGGACCCTATGGAAGATGCTATGTTTCTGTTTCTTGATCTCTCTGTGTCTCTGTCACTCACAAAGGAAAAAAAAAAAAAGATTTAGAAAAGAAAGAAAGAAATTGTAAGATGGCAAGATGCTTGAGATAAAACATTTGGAAAAATCAATAAATAAGAATCATGATATAATTTCTCCTGGGATTCAGACTGTTTTTATTTGGTTATTTTCTAGCTCTTGGTTGTTCACATGGAAAATTCAGAGGGTCATAATCTGTGATGCCTTAAATTGTTTGGCCTTTATACAATGACTGTTTTGTTCCACGAGAAAAAAATATAAAACAGCAGACAAAAGGAGGGAAATCTGAAAATAATTCCTTCCTATGCCCGAATCGGATGACATCAGAGAACACTGAAGAAAAGAGAGGGAATTACATTAGGAAGGCTGGTCACACGCCTTGCTTGGCAAGTCACTAAAAGCTGTTCTTTGAAGCAATACGTGATCCATGTGATAGCTTCTATTGAAAAGGATAATTCCTTCTGAAGACCAAACTTATTTTATTTGCCTTTATTTTATTACTCACAAGGCATATTGAAAAATCTCAAAGAGCAGGATCACAATTGTCGCTGCACCCCAGTGATCTTATGCTATCTAGGTTGAGCTGCATTTTCTTTGTCCATGTACATAACATTTGCCTTATGTTCAAGTAATTACTAATTCTGTTTCTAATATCAGTTTTTGTCATCTTGTCCAAGATGACAAAGAGCTGTGTGCACAAAAAGAGGACGAAAAGGAAAAAGCATGGCAGTGGTTCAGGATCTCCCATACTCACGGCCGCCAGATGGAAACGTGCTGTTGATCTGCTCCATGACCTCAGTGAGGTCCGTGCTGGTGTCGTGAGGCGGGGCCAGCAGGTCCTCGGCCGCTGTGAAAGCACACAGGATCAGAGGCTCTGCAACTCTCGCCCAAATGGCCACCCAAACCCGACTTCAGAAGAGAGTACTATAACCGGCCTCTCCATATCAGTGTGAAGAGTCCTCATTTAAAAAGGATAATTGGGCCGGCAGGCAGTGTGGTGGTTAAGGGTGCTGGACTCCCACATGTCCAACTGTGGTTCAAGTCCTGGACCTGGTGGGTTGCTTTCTCACTTTCTCTCTCTCTCTCTTATATTCTGTTCAAATTTAAATAAATAAATAAAGTTAAATAAAGTAATACTTTAAAAAAAGGAATTATAAAAAGGACAATTTTATGAGGAAATGCCACAAATGTTTTTGTAGTAATTTTTGATAATATAATTTTATGTAATTAAAATATTCTAGACCCTTATGTCAAACAAAAATCCATGTACCAGGGGAAATGTAAGGCTAGAAAATAAGTAATGTAGTTATATTATTTCAACGTATTAGTTAGAAATCTATTATTATGCCTTCTAGGTATTTCTTCAGAGGGAAAGATATTGCACCACTTTCTTTCTCCTTTCTTCTTTCTTCTGGAGCTTTCAGCATAGGCTACCCCCCCCTGCCACAAAAGTAATCTTATAAAATAATTTTTACATTGATGTGTTTTGTATTTTATAACCAGTGGTCAAATGGCTCTTACTTTAAAAATATTAAAACAGAGGCCGGTGAGTGTCATGGTAGTTAAGGGCACTGGACTCCCACATGGCCAACTGTGGTTCGAGTCCCAAACTTGGTGGTTTGTTTTCTCACTTTCCCTCTCTCTCTCTCATTCTGTCCCTCTCTGGTCAAATTAAAATAGATAAATAAATAAATGAATGAAATAAAGTTCAATAAAAATTATTTTATAAATATTAAAACATATTTTAAATTGTCTTTCGATTACTATATTAAAAGATGTCCCAGAATAAATTAATTGGCTTACAATATGTAGTCCTAAGTAGAATTTTAGATCTTGAATTTTTTTGATAACAAAATATCATTCCTTGAATGCCTAGATTACAGACTCCTTCTTGATGACAGGTCACCACTGTGACCAGTGACAGGTTAGGTGGACCTCTGCCTCAGATGGGCCAGGTGGTCAATGATTATGGGGGCTAGAATGCAAAGAAGTGGACAAGTATGATGTTCCTTAGTATAATGTTTAGAATATGGAAACATGTGAAATTTTAGAGACAGAAAATGTACTAAGAATCCTCTTCGAAGTAGATCAAATGTGGACTTCCTGGGCCAATTGCAATGGCACAGCAGGAGTGCAGGGAGCTCTGTAATGCTGGTAGCCAAATGGAAACCAGGGTTCAGTTGCCAGGTAAACCTGTAGGTGTGGGGCAGATGTACACTTGAGATCCTGGTTGGATTAAGAGCTAGGGGTGGGGAGTGCCTGGGAGAACCTGTTGAAAGTGTTTAGCTCTCTAGTTCTCTATTTCTCTGGTGAAATGAAAAATTAACTAAAAAATAAATTCTTGCTCATTCCAAAAAGAGCACTTTTTTTTTTATATCATTCACTAAAATTCAATCGGCTACTACACATTACCTATACAAGTATATTACAGCTTTGTAGTCTATAATGTTTGCTTTTCTGATATTGTTCAAATGGATTTGCACTCATTTGAGACCAAAGAAAATACAAAATTCTTTGTGCAGTATGGCACAAATATTTAAGGACAATAAAAATGAAAAATAAACAATAGCAAAGCACAAAGCAGACTGGGCAGTGTTGCCACGTTTGGAGACACTGACCTGCTGGGTGAAGCTGTGGGCTGGGGTCCTGGTCCAGGGAGTAGCTCAGTGAAGAATGCTGTGGGGAAGCCCATGGGGAGACGCCATTGATTCGGGAATCAGATTCAGGCTGGAATCACATGCCAAGGTTAAAGCAAAGAATGGATCCAAATAACCATTAAGAAAGAAATTTCCTTCCAACTTCCCCTCCCTCATCATGGATGATTAAATCATGTAGAGTTCTTTACTCAAACATTTTCAAACACATTTTAGCCTCAGAGACGTGGGAGCACTAGCACTTCCCTGGAATAACAAGGGCCCTTCCCTTACCCTTTGGGCACGTTGAAAAATTCACTTAGTTTTATATTGTAAGATTAAATGATCAATGTCATTTTCATCCCTCAATTTTTATGTCAATCAATGAATTTAGGAACAGTTTCCATCATCTTTAAGAAATTACCATTGTGCTTCTAATGGAGTAAATCTATCCAATTTCAAAATTAGCTCATACTTAAAGGCAATATTGGAGAGTGGTTAAGGGCACAATTTTGGATTCAAATTGCAGGAATTGAACTTCCAAGTTTGCCCCTCGGAAGCTGTGTAACTCTAAGCAAATTATATAACCTTTTGTGTTTTAGCTTCCTTATAAAATGGAGATGGTAATAATAGTACTGCGTAATAGGATTTTGTGAGGGATGTGATGAACCACTATTTCTAAAGCAACTAGAGCAGTCTGACATGCAGTAAGCACTTCATAATACACTCTCACAAATCTTTGACATGGTGATAGATAGGTTGACAAGTACATGGTCAAATTAGAAAGTATGATCTATTAAATTGGGAATGCAGAAGTTGCAATTTTTTGATGCAGATTTTTCCATTAAATCTATATTAGTTTAAGTCTGGTAGTTTTGCCAGGTTTTACTATCAGAGTTGAATGTTCCATTACTTCTGGCATTCAGGCTAAATCATTAAGACTAGATAAGAGCTCTACAGTCTGGGATACACAGAGCTATTTAGATATCTGCTATCTCTAAAAGCATTACTGTGCAATTCTGGAGGCATATGAGCCATTAGGCATCTCTGTCTAATGGGATGGCAGAGTAGGGGGAGGTGAGGCAGCAGAAGAGCCTTTGGCTCTCCTAAGAGCATCAACAAGCAATGGCAAATGGAGGTTCTGAGCGGAACTTCCTCCTGCAATGATTCTATCTATGTAGTAAGCGGCAAACGTTAACACTGCATATTCTCCGAGAAAGTTTGTCCTTCACACAAATAGCACTGGGAAATTTCATACTGACAATACAAAACAATGTAACTTTGCAATGAATGTTATTGGAGTCAGGAAGAATCAAAACATTCTTCTGGAATGAAAAGCCAGGCGTTGGGTCACTCTTCGGGAACTATTTTCTAAAGGTGAACAATGTGAAAGTCCTGAGGTAATACTTGCTCAAAACAAACTCACACAAAATCTGAAATAGTGATAGACGTGGAGAAAAGGAGGTAGTCGGACAATAAGAAGAGATCTATAGCTCACTGCGGAAATAATACAGAAATGACACTGTTTTGAATGATTCTGGCAAGTGAAAAAGACACGGATAACAAGTGTCTACAGGCAATTTTCTAAAATTTAAGAAAATCACTGATGAGAATGTTGTTTCTGCTTTGATTTTATAAATTATTTCTGGAGAAAGACATTCCTATTACCCTGCCAAGGGGCCTCACATTGCACAGAATAGGGAAAAATGAAAAAGATGGCATGAATGTTGCCAGTCTTTCATTATTTTTTTTTTTAAGGTTTTGCCACAGGGCAGGTGTGTGCCATGGAGAGAAACAGAAAAACAGTGAAAGGGAAAGTAATAAATCACCCAGCAGGGGGATGGCCATGTTGCAATTCCTTCTCTTTCATTCTCCTCTTGGGATTTTGGGCCTGCACGCACATGTACCCAGAGTGATTTTCAAGCCACCGGGCCAAATCACGGTCGGTCATATGGGAGTCCAGCACCTTAACCACCACACCACCTGTCGGCCCCACCAGTCATTCTTTAAGAGAGGAGTTTCTCGCCCCTCTGCTCAGATTTGACACTATGTGCACCTGGCTCCCACACTATGTGCGATCAAGTCCATAAATTTCTAGTGTTGTCATTGTACATGATGCAATCTTATTATACATGATGCCACTTGTTACCTATGACACAATCTATGAAATTACCTTGTTATACATGATTCTGTGTTACATAAAACAGTACCTTATTATATGCAACACCATGTTGTTATGGTCCCTGAGAAGACCAGGGGCATCAGCAGGATGTAACTGTATCTGGTGCTTTTTTTAAATCACCCAAATAGAGCTTTTCAAATTGACAAGCTATTATCCATTGATTAGTACAGCACTGTCTTATCAGTTGGAACAACATTAGAGAAAAATAAAGAAGGAAAAAAGGAAAGAAAGAGGAAAGGAAGGAAGGACAAAAGGAAGGGGTAAGAACAGAAAATAAGAGGTGGCATCTGCTAAAGGCAAGTGTTACTTTGTATTTATCATATATATGTGTGTGTTCATCATAATGTAAACTATATTCCTCATTGTCCAGAAAGTTTGCAAGAAACTGCTGTAAAACTTGGTCCAGTGTTGGGGAACAGCAACAGCAAATTAATAACCATCTGTTACTCAATTTCTTGAAAAATAGGAAGTAATGATTCCTGGAGTCAGCATTCTTGGCTCACTGGAAGAAAGATTCAGAAGGCAGATAGCAGATCAGATCTTTTGCTGCCCTTTCATCTCTACAGGTGTTTACCACATGCAATGTAGGCAGATGCAGGTCATGGGATCTTTTTTCTTACACTATTCAGAGTTGAGACAGACTTCAGAGTTAAAGAGGACAGAAATTCTACTATAAGCTGGGAAAACACATTTGTGTGTGTGCGTGTGTGTGTGTGTGCAAGTAAGGATTTAATGCTTACATATGAAAAGTGATGTCCACACCAGTCTAACTACGGATGTGAGAAACTGAAAGCAGGCCTCTCTACCTCTGCAGGTACCAGGACCAAGCCCCAGGGACATGGATGGGTGGCGTGGGGAAGGGCCACACTGAGTAGGTTCTGCGGACCCTACCTGCTCCAGCAGCTGTCGAAGGCGGTGGAGCTGAGACTCCAGCTGTTTATTGTGATCTTCTAAAATCTGCATCCTAGCTTCCAGCCGGCCTTTGTGCTGCCTGAGGAGTTTTGCTTCTGCTATGAGTTCTGAGTCCTCAGACGTGTGATGAGGCGATACAATGGAATCTGGAGGTGAGCCGACAGGGAGCCCCCTTCTCAGGTGCTGTTCCTTCAGCTGCTCATACTCCACCTGCAAATTTCTAACACAGGAAAAGAAAGGAATTATGTTGTGCATATTGTCTTCTCTCCAAAATTGTCTATGAGCTCCAAATTTAGCTCATGTTACTTCCTCTTCGGTAAAAAGATGTATTCAGTGAGATGAACAAGCATGAATAAAACTGTAGCATTAAGCAAATGTTCTAACAGAATCATCACAACGCGCCCCACCCCCTGCCCCAAATGCTATTGTGCCTACAGTAAGCAATCCAACATGTCAAGGTGTTCTGTACTTTGACTCCACTGTGACTTCTTGGTCAACAGTTCTGCAAAGAGACTGGGTAGGATCCATGCCAGCTTCACAGAATAGAAAGGATGACACATTTTCTTCTCCCAAGATTACACACCTTTGCTCTTCCTCCAAGTCAGCAATGATCCGTTCCAGCTCTCCACGTTCCTCCCTTTCTACTGACTTGAGGATCTGAGCTGGACTCTGTGGCTGGCTCAGTGGGGACTCCCCTCCAAGCGTCTGGCAGTACTGCTGGATGAGAGCGTGCTCGTCCTCCCTAACAAGAAAAGGAAAGGGTATAGAGGGTCACTTTGGTTAAAAGAATTATTTTATTTAACTTTATTTATTTATTTATTCATTCATTCTTCATTCATTCATGCATTCATTCATTCTTTCCAATTTGACCAGAGAGGGACAGAGTGAGAAAAAAAGAGAGAGAGAGACAGAAAGTAAGAAAGCAAGCCACCATGTCCAGGACTCAATCTGTAGTCAGTCACATGGGAGTCCAATGCCTTTAACTACCATGCCACCTGCTGGACCCAAGGGTCACATCTTGATGGTGATGTCTGTATATAATACAGGTAGAAAGACCATGATGGCTGCTGGGACAGATCTGCCTGGATCAAATGTCTTCTCAATCGCCTTTTAAAATTCTAGGAAGAGGGGACCAGCAGATGGTTTAATGGCTATGTCGCTGGACTCCCACACAGTCGACTGCGGTTCGAGTTTCGGATCCAGTGGTTTAAACTCACGTCAGGTGCATGTGTGTGCATGCCCAGATTCCAAGAGGAGAACAGAGGAGAAGGGCTTGTAGCAGGGCCATCCCTCCCAAGGAGTGATTTCTCACTTGGGTCCAGCAGGTGGTGTGGTAGATAAAGGTGCTAGACTCCCACATGATCAACCACAGTTCAAATCCCTGACCTGGAGGCTTACTTTCTCACTTTCCTCCCCTCTCTTTGTCTCTCTCACTCTGTCCCTCTCTGGGGATAGATAGATAGATAGATAAATAAAGTTAGCTAAATAAAGTATTTCTTAAAAAATAAAATAAAATTCTAGGAAGATAATTACTTCAGGTGCATTTGTATTTAATATACCAACATAACATGCTTTTGCTTTAGTCTAATAGCTTTATACTCACAAACCTCTATCACTCAACAGAAAAAATAAAAATAATGCACAACTCTTAAACAATTACAAAAGATACAGAGAAAATCCATCATCAAATACCAAAAGAGTAAATTAAAAGACCATTGTGTGTGAATAAGCTGATTCCACTGTCCATAGCATTTGGTTGAAAGCAATGTTGAAATGCTTTGTAACCCATATGACGGGGTCTGTAATTCTTATATTCTTTTATTTAAAGAAAATGACACAAATTGTAATTGTAGGAACTTATAAAATATCTGCAGCATTTTATGTGCTACTATCACCAGATCAATTTTAGGATGAATTATTTTGCATTAAAACAAGAAAATTCACTTAATTCTCTTGGCTTCTTCCACTTTTCTACTTGTTCAATGAACCATACAGATCAATAATGTGGTTCAATCGATTGACTGACAATAGGCAGAAGTTTAACAAAGTGGACAAAGCTGATCCATTTATGGAAGGAAACATGCACTAGCAGGCCTGGAATCCCATATTTTCCATGACGAGGGAGGTTCAGTCAGATCTCCGTATAAATATGCAATGCCGGGTCACCTGGCTGACATGAGAGTGTTGCCATTGAAAACTTCCAGCAGGTTTTGCCTGGTTGATTTTTACAACTTTTGTATGTAAACCTTGGATTCCATGGAGTTACAGGATATGACTTCAGGCAAACGTCACATACATTGGAGTATAGAGTGACCCAAACTCTGTTATGTAGGCAATGTCACTGCAAATGTCCTGTAGAGACCTCCCCTGTTACTCTGGGGTCAGAGTGCGTCCTAACAGACCCAAGAGGAATCTGTTGTGTGCTGCTGGCATCTTGCACCTCTCTCCACCTCACGGGGCCTTGGGATCACAGGTTTCTTTTGAGTCTGTTTTGCAAATCCACCTCTGTGTGACTGCAGTTCACTCACTCTGACAAACAGGGGACTTGAAAAGCATCTAAGAAATAATAAATTCTTAAGAAAAGTGTATCCTGAGCCTTGAGATTGGAGAAAGATGATGAAACAAATGAGAAAATTATTACAGTGTTATGCTTTCCAAACAGCCAGAGCAAAGGTTCAGGTGGATCACTTGTTGATTTTTCCCCTTTCCCCCCTCTCTACATGTATAGAGATAGAGATAGAGATATGTATGTGTATGTGTATATAAGGGGATTTCACAAAGTTTATGGAAAATGGAATGAAAAACAAGTTTACCTCGGTGCAAGAAAATGTTAAAAATTCATACATAGTTTATTCAAGTATTTTTTTAATGACTTAATTCTATTTATTCATTCATTTATTTTAATTTGACCAGACACACACACACACACACACACACACACACACACACAGAGCGAGAGAGAGAGAGAGAGAGAAAGTGAGAAAGCAAGCCACCAGGTCTGGGCCTCGAACTGTGGTTGGCCATATGGGAGTGTTCAGTGCCTTAACCACCACGCCACCTGATGGTTCCCATATTTAAGTATTTTTCTGTGAACTTTTTGAAAACATCCTGTGTGTATGTGTGCATGTGTATAGACATACATAACACATATGTATTTAAAATAAAGGTTATACACGTTGGTTGATATCACAATATAAACATGGATACCTCACCTTCCTGCTTTTATTGACTGTTTAATGCAGTTTGAAATTGAAAATAAGGATCATGGATAGGATAAGGATGGAAATCGGCTATGGCATTAGCCTTTGATTCCATTTCCTGAGAAAATGGAGCATTGTTGGGAAAAAACGAACCAGGCTCTAGAAGAATCCCATGCTTGTTCCTAGATATAGAAGGACGAGGAGGAGTTGGGGTGAGAATCGGCCTACTGCAGACCGCAGCATCTGGAAACAGATCCAAAGGCTTCTAGGTTGCCTATTTAGGTCAATCAAACAGAATTGTGCTGGGCTGTGGGCATTTTCCTGAAAGGGAGTAAGTGGCCAACAACTTAAACCTAACTATATATGAAGGGGCACATGCAGGCTGTGAGACTAAGGGACACACCACGGGGAGATCAGTTAGTTGCTATGGATCACCAAGGATGCTTGGAGATACCTTACTTAATTCCTATAGAGAAGGAGGCAGTCAAGGAGGATAAAAAGTATAGATCTAACATATGGATAGGACAAATGGACAAAGTATAAATATATTATGGCTACGAAATTAAATAATAGCAGAGTAAGAGTACATACAGTAGAACATTCCATAAATATTTCTCAAACTAAAAAAGACCAGGCCAGCTGGTGGTATGGTGGTTAAAGCAGCTATTGATAGATCCCACATGGCCAACTCTGCACTTCCAGTTCCACACCTGGCAGCTTGAAAGACACACCAGACATGCATGCCCAAAGTTCTGAAAGAAGAAATAGAGAAGAGGGTATTGTGGCATGGCTATCTCCCCACTAGAAGTGATTTCCCACTTTGTCTTTCTCTCTCTTCCTCCTTCTGCCTCTCTCCAGTGAGCACAGCTTCTCAAACAAAATTAAATACATATATATATATATATATAGGGGCCGGTAGTTGGCATGGTGGTTGAGGCCCTGGATTCTCACATGACTGACTGTGGTTCGAGTGCCGGACCTGGAAGCTTGCCTTCTCACTTTCTCTCTCTCTCTCACAGGTCAAATTAAAATAAATACATACATACAATAATTGTATTTTTAAAAAAAACATGCTCTGTAAACTAAATAGATATTACTGATTACTAGTGGCTTTTCTGTATGGCAAGTGTAGGTTTACACACCGTTTCCTCACAGACTTGGGTGGGGAAAATTATTGGGTTGTCGGGAAAGTCATGACGCATTTTTGCATAGAACAGTATGTCACTGCTTTCCTGATGACCTAATAGAAATTTTTAAAAAGTGATGTCTCTAGTTCCTGGTGTTCTCAGGAGTTCACAACAACAATAATAATAGTAAGAGGAAAAAAAACCCACTCATTCCTATACCAGTAAAATTTCTATATTTTAAGGATAAAGCATCACGAGTAATTAAACAGAAATCAGAATAAAACAGAAAATTATTTGCAAAAGTATACACAGGTGTAGAATCCTTTTCTCTATATTAAATACTAAAGGCAGAGGAGCAATGTCTAGAGTCCTAATTCAGGTATTCATAACACTAGACACATCTTGTGTTTGTAAAATCAAAGCGCTTTGCTTTTACAAAGAAGGAAAAGAATGAACAAGGATAATGCAAAATAGAACAAAGGTTGATGGTAATCTCTTAGGTGTTACAATAAGAAGCAAACTGATTCTCCTACTGGTTAAAAAAAATCATTATATGATATCTACAAATAATAAAGACTGAAAGTATAGAGTGTTTTTATAGAAAATAAAAAAGAACAAAAAAGAAATATGGGACCAGCGGATGGCATAATGGTCATGTCACTGGACTCCCACGTGATTGACCATGGTTTCAGTCCTGGACTCGGTGCCTGGAAACACACTGGGCGTGCAACTGAGATGCATTTGTTGCTAACATTTGCATTAATTTTTTCTTTGGACAAGTAGATAATGTTTAACGTATTATTGCAAGTATCATCACTGCCACTATCATTTAATTTGCTAAGCTATCAGGAAGAGAATAAAACAAATTTCACAAAAATAAGAATTTAAAAGCCATTTTTATATGGTATATAATTTTAGTCTTAAGTGTTTTTCACAGATTATTAGGCCTAAAAGTTAAATATAAAAATAGATACATACCAGTTCTTAATTATATACAGTAAAAACCAAAAGCATGCTGTTTAAATACAGATAGTACATGAGGAGATTAGTCATTAAACATCAGAGTGCCTTATGTTGAAACAGAAGATGTTGGAAAAATATAGTTCTAGTGCAACAAAATAGCACTAGATGGAATATAACTACACTATATTTAAGTCACACATTGTGAATACTATCTAGATTACAAAATTGGTACATATCAGATGACAAAAGAACTGTGATTCATCCAATGACCTTTTGAAAGTAGACAAGACATAAATAAAAATAACAATAATTTGCTTCCTTCAAAGGATTGTTCTGTTCCAGGCTTCCAATTTGCAAACAGTAATGTCAATGGAAATGGTGGCTAGCCTCCCCATTTGATATTTTCACGTAAAAAAGTGTCACCCAAGGATAGAAGGCAGATGGAGCTGGAC